AAAGAGAGAATGGATTTTCCCCTTCCCACGCTTTCCACAAGAAATTCTGTTGCAGTGATTTGTCCCGTTCTTTCCTAGGTATCGCATCACTATAGGTAACAAGACCTGTGTGTTTGAAAAGGAGAATGATCCCTCCATTCTGCGCTCACCTTCGGCTGGGAAGCTTATCCAGTATGTGGTGGAGGATGGGGGACACGTGTTTGCAGGCCAGTGCTTTGCAGAAATAGAGGTAAAAGAGTCTCAGAGAACTGACTTGGCTGCAGATGCTGCATCTGCCCAGGCAAAAGATGGGGGGGGGGAACATTGAGTGCTTTGGAACTGGGACTTGAGCATGAGGGATAATTCACAGTATTTCCTTTCCAAGTTTTGTCTGCGTTTTAACCTGGACTAATGCAGGAATCAGCAGTGAGAGCGGTGGGGTGGAGAAGAAATTACTTAACAGCTGAAATTTGACTGTTGACTGTATACCAAGTGATAAGCAAAATTTCTCAGCAGTGAGACCATGGTTATCATCTTGCTGTGATACCAAGGGAGAGTGGGATCCATGTGTACTGTGTCTTCTAGCTGTGGTGAACAAGGCCTTCTACTTGTAGACCACTACTTAGTACCAACACAGACTCAGAAGCGGAGTTACATGCCAGGATTAAGTAACAAATTAAGACTCCTCTGATTACCTGATCATTTATCAGGTTGATTGGATGAGTTAATAAGTGTCACTCCTCCCTTCTCCCTTGGAACTTATTTAACTCTTAGAGAGGAGGAGGATGGTGAACAATTTCTGCATCACTGTGAGGAAAGCACAAGAGGTTGTGTAGGAGTGCATAGCTCAAAAGAGATTTGAGGGAGGGGAGGGTGTGTGTTGACAGAGGGGCAATTAAACCAGTTGCGGACAATGTGTAGGAGAAAAATATCAAGCTAGACATCCAGATACTTTATGTAAGTGCTTCTATGCTGCAACAGAGTCATGGCTAAGAAGGAACCACCTACTCAATTCCTGTGTTCCCAGTTGTGCTGTATAGTATAACACTGGTAAGACTAGACTGTCTCCCCCCATGCCCAGCCCTTCTGCTCCAAAGGCAAGAGCTTCCAAGGTTGATCTA